CTATGGCTGAAAACTGAGGAAAAAGCCAAGGGACAGCTATAGCCGTCTTGGCTTAATGCAGTTGCTCCACTTGCAGGAAAGAATAATCACAAGGAACCTACTCATAGCCTGTTCTGTACAGAATGAGTGATTGTTTTATGCTGTGAGACGGTACTTACTAATTTACATCACTGAATGGATCTCGTTCCTTATTCTGGCTTTTTGTGCTCATCCCAACCCCACCAACAGCTTCTTGCCCTTTAGAGACCATATACAAGAGTCTTCATTCTCATCAGAAACACTAACTGAAATGTCCCTGTGAGTGAAGGAAACAGCTGACGCTTTAAGCCAAAATGACTGCAAACAAGTAAACAATGCTGAACAAAAATTGCAGGTGAAGGAAGGCTCTTGACCCATAATGACGTGAAACTATTTACCGTCATGTACAAATGTGAGGAACTTTGCAGTCATAGGGGTAAGAAGAAGCTTGGTGGGTGACTCACTCCTCAGTGCCTGAAAACAACTTTACCATGATAAACATTTGATCAGCAGAGCTAAAAGGACCATCACTGAAATCTGCATGTTCTCAAGAGTATTCTAAGCATCTGAAACGAAGTCTGCCACTTCTTTTCTACTTGCAGAGCTTTTTCATCTTTATCTGCCTTTCCACACAATTCATCTCAGCAACCAGTTCTTTGTAACCTTTCAGAAAAAGCCTCCTCTTACTTATCCTCCACTGTTATGATGCTCATCCTTGGAAAGGAATAAACATAGTCTCCTGAGACTACTATGGTCATCCTCAATCCTATTCATTTTCCTCTGCCCAGTGGTGAGTCCTTGCATTATTCCAAGAGCAAAAAAAAAGAGAATCACAGAAAATTAGGGCTGACATGGATGCTGCAAGTCCTAGTCCATCGCTCTATCCAAAGGCAGGATGAACTATATTTTTGTCTTTCCCAGCAGGTATATGTGTATTGCACCCTCAAACCTTACAGTGCAGGAGATCTTTCCCAAACCTTCTTATTAGAAGGCTTTGTTTGTGTAAAACAGATTTTCGTTAGAGATCTGAGCTCCTTATTTCTTGTCCTTTACTTAAAGACTGTCTGTGCCTCTGTATAGTTCTCTCATGTCTAGATTCTATCTTCTCATCTTTGTCAAATTTCTTATCTCTAAGCTGCGTTTTACTAACCTAGAAGAGCAGGAAGTATCAAAGGAAGAGCCTTGAAGAACACCAAGAAGTATTCCTTTCTGGGAATTAATGGTAGTCCAACTATTTCATTAATTATAATATACCCACCGACAGAAAATGGTCCATGTAAAACAAATCTCCACTAAATGGAGTGGTGGAGTGAAAGTTAGTCTTCACTGAAGTCTCTTGTAAAACTTCTAGTAACTTTAATAGTAGGAGATCGCAGCCTAGACACCTTGCTGCTCTGAAAAAATCAGGTCATTTAATTAGGTGCTTCTTTGTTTTACTTCTGCTGGAGAAGGACCTAGGAGTCCTAGTAGATAACAAGTTGAGCATGACCCAGCAGTGTGCCCTTGTAGCCAAGAAGGCCAATGGGATCCTGGGCTGCATTAAGAAGAGTGTTGCCAGCAGGTGGAGGGAGGTGATCCTCCCCCTCTACTCAGCCCTGGTGAGGCCACCTCTGGAGTACTGTGTCCAGTTGTGGGGTCCCCAATACAAGAGGGACGTGGAGTTACTGCAGTGAGTCCAGCAGAGGGCTACGAAGATGATGAGGAGACTGGAGCATCTCTCCTATGAAGAGAGGCTGAGAGAGCTGGGCCTGTTCAGCCTGGAGAAGAGAAGACTGAGAAGAGTATCTGAAGGGAGCGTATAGGGAGAACAGGGCCAGATTCTTCTCTGTGGTGTCTAGAGGTAGGTTGAGAGACAACGGGCACAAACTGAAGCACAGGAAGTTCTATCTGAAGATGAGAGTAACTCAAAGGGTAAAAAAAAATGGAAGTACCTAGAGAAATAATAAACAACAACAAACAAGCGTGTTTTTATAAACTAACAAAGACAAGGATTGAGAATTTTCAGAAGCCTCTTGCAACTCTAACAATAGAGTGTTTCACTCTTTTAGTACGTTAGGTAGCCTGGACCTCGCCATGACAAATTCATAAACAGAAGAATGAAATTTCAGAGGAATTACAGCTCTAGCACACACATCTGTCCCTAAAGCACATAATTCATTGTGCTCTAGGACTGTCATTTCCCATTCACTACAAAATTGCTGGCATTTTTGAAAGATAGCTATAATTGTAGTGATGTACTGCCTGAAAAACATTTCCTTTCTTCTGTTCTGGGAGCTGACTAAACATTATTTTGGCTTAGTGCTGTTATACCTTGCTGCTCCTATTTGCATACCTTCCATTCTTATATTCTACAGCTTTTTCTTCTCTGACTGTGCTATGATTAGTGCCAAAAATACTAATGAAGGGGAAAACCCATTACTGCAAGAAAAGGAACAGAATCTACTCTATTCTGCTCTGAGGTTTCCTTTAGGCTATAACATGATGAGAAGGCTCTGGAACTGAGTTTTCAAGCGATTGTGTGGAGAGCAGCCACTTTCTGAACTGAAATTAAGAAGGCTTCTTTGGGAACTTTTCTTGCCCCAATTTTAAGCAAGTAAAAAAAGACTCCATGTCCACCTACATTTAGGAAAGTCTGTGCTGGTCTAATGCTTTTCTCCTCAGGATTTGAACAAACAGTGAGTTCTTAGCTTCTATTTCCTCCAGGAAAAAGAGATGAGAAAATACAAATCATAAAGAAAATGAATTAATGAATATTTTATAACTGATGTATAACTGCCTCCAGAGCTTCCCAAATACCAGAGAAGCCTATATCTGATTGGGTTGATATGTAAGTATATGTTAGTAGTAACAACTAAGTACTTACAAAATAATGTTATAAGTGCTTGTGCATGCACACACATACACAAAAATTTGCCCACCCACACACCATATCAACTTAAACATGAAGGAAGACCTTTTTTTCTGGAGAATAACCCAAGAAACACACTGCTTCTTATAGTTAGGTTGCTCTGTCATGGCTGCCTATGCCTTGCTGAAGCAGCATGAGGTAAGGACCAGATCTCTCCGGAATCACTGATAAAAGTAAGGAGGAGTGAGAAGTCCTGGGCTAACCTTAGCTGATACAGCAGTGTATTGTGGAAAACCTGCCCAGACAAAACAACCAGGTTTCCTGTAAACACATTTGTAGAAGGCAAGGCTTAGGCTTTGAAAGAAGATTATGTGGACAGGGACAGTTTCTCTGTATGTTGCCCCCTTATGCCACACAAAAGCCTTTCCCATTTACAGTGGAAAGAACAGGAATTCCCACAGAGGAACAGAACACTCATATTTCCATTTGGAAAACCTGAGGAAGTGCAACTGATGCATGGGGAGCCCCTAACTCTGTAGTGCCTCTGTGGGTAGCATAGCATTCCCAGTGTATGACAGTTAATATGCATGCGCTGTGTGATTGGTATGAATGAATTCAATCTCTACGGCATCACTGCAAAGTGCTCAGTTGCAGCAGACCTAATGCACACACCTGGCACAGCCAGTCTATGCCCATTCTTCCAGGACTTCCGGATGTCATGCAAACCAAAGCAAGACACTAAATATCCAGGTTGATGGACATCCAACAAAAAGCTAAATTGTTCTTTTCCTTTAAGTGCACAATTTCCGGTTGAAAAGGTGAACGTGTATCTTCCCTGGAAGAGAGCTTTATGAAAGCAGTCTTCAGAAGCACAGAAATGTAACAGACAAAGGGAACAACCACAACTCTGCTCTGGAACCACTATCTCATGTTGCTATTGGTCAAATAGGTACTTTCATGTTTTGTATTTTATTTTTTTCTTTCCCTTGCTACCGTGTAAAGCCACCTGCGGAGGGAGAATAATTAATTTCTATTAGAAAAACATATGTCCTTGCATTCACTGATGTTATTTCTAATAGTGACATTGATCAAGGATTGCAGAATTTCTTCTTAAAGGTAAAAAAGCCTGGGAACGCCTTCATTTCTCGCAATTTTAGATGATTTATAATTAAGTAGAATTATTTTATATCTGGGTAGGCTTTTAAAATTATGACTTCTTTCTCAATTCCTGGGGATAAGGAAAAATTCAAGATTCCAGAAAAGGTCCCCTAATTATACTAACTGCTTGCAACAGACAGGACTGTGAATCATCATGAATGAAAGTTAATGCTACCACTGGGAGTGGCAATGGCTTTATATTCCAGTGCTCCATGAGCCCTGACGTGAAGCTCAGCAGGCAAGTCAACATCATCAGTCCTGAAGAGAATGGTAGATATCTCCCTGAGCTTTAATTATAACTTCTATATTACTTTTGATATGATCAAGAAACACCTAAAGATTGATATGTACATTAGAGATGTACTCATCTGCTTAGCACAGAGCTACTGTATACAACATATCTTGAAGAATGGAGGATTTTTTCCAAGATACTGTGCAATGGTTTGGATTACATTAAGATGTTTAGTCTGTGTCATGAAGCTATGCTTAATACAATATCTGATATAATATCTGAGGCAAAGTGATTAACATGTATATAGTTTTTACAGAGAGATATATGGAGCGAGGTATGGTATAGGAGTGTAATTAAACATTATGCCTAGAGGACTTGAGACAAGAAAGCTCAGGCCATAAAGTGAGCCGGGACTGTGCAGTAGCAGGCAGGGATAGGATCAGATTAGGAGTAAGTAACAAAGCTATGACTACTGCTTGCTCTGAAGAAATAGCTAAACTCAGAATGCTGTTTCTGACAATATATTTCTCTTGCCGTTCAGGAAGATGATTTTCAGATGAACTGTTTCAATTTGAAGTTCACTGTGAAATCTCAGACCTAGCAAGCCAGGTGATGTGCTGAGCTATCCAGATAAACAACTCAAGGAGACCTTACTAAGCTCTGTCAAGACACCTAGGCTCAGGGGAAGTACCGATTAGAGACTAAGTCTTTGTTTCCCTTGATCTAGGCTTTACCAGCATCTCAATGGGCTCTCTCAGAGCGGCCAATACCAGGTTATGTCTGGACTTTTTCAAAGAGCTGAGTAAAACAAAAAGAAATGAAAATATCTTCTTCTCCCCATTAAGTCTCTCAGCTGCCTTTAGGATGGTCCTCCTTGGTGCCAGAGGCAACACACTCAAACAGATTGAGAAGATGGGTTTTCTTTGCTCCATAAAGGGAACGGTGCTCTCTTGGCTCATAGTACAGTCTAATATAGTTCCTAGGCACCCAAAGGTCTGTATGTACCTATATGTAACCTTTTTTAAAAAAATGCCCTCTCTTGCACTATTCCCAATATCAAACTATTTCAAACTAAACTATTACAGTGTCTGCTTGTTCAATGAGGAGAGTGTTTTGGATATATCACTCAACAGTCCAAGGCTCAGAAGTGGTGGTTCCGTTTGATGTGATCTTCTGCCTTCCCTGAATACTCAAAGTGTTCTTTCTCAAGAAGAAACATTTCAAAGATTCATGTCCAACCTCTGTGAAAGCTTCATGTCCATTTGAAGGGATCTCAGACTAAAGAAAGAACCATAGTTTCCCTACTTACTGTGTTTCACTGAGTTCTGGGATAGGATTGCAATACTTCGTTTTAGCTTTAAGATACTGCCATGCTCAGTTGCATTCACCCAACTTTTACATTGCAGGTATTTCATTTCAGTGAAATTTTGAACAGTACAAGCCAAGGAACCAGATATCCTTCTGAAAAGGTAAGACAGTTGCAGCTCTGAGATGAAGCAACAGTTGCTGATTTGTCAGTCTTTTTCCCTGCAAACCATCACTTAATCGGAAAGCACAGCGAGGCTGAGCAGCCTCTCTATCTAGACTCTCAGACCTGCTTATTACTGTTCTTTCATTATTTATTTAAGGAGTCTTGTGAAATCACACATTTCAAATCTAAGCCTTCTCATTACCAGTTTGTTACCAAAACAGCAGCATTGATCTCAAAGGTGGTAAGCGTGTAAATTGCCATCTGCAAAGATCTACAGGGCGTGCCAAAGGCGTATTGGAGCTTGCTTCTCCCAGGCCCTAAGCCAGCAGACTTTTACCCAGAGCACATGCAGAGCGACCGCTGTAGGATGCTATGTCGTTTGGGAGTGCACCACTGTGGATCTGAAGAGGAGTCTTATACACCGAGTACAGGGGGGAGTTAGAGATGGTGCTCTGAAATGCTAGTATCAACTGGGTGGAGTCAGGCTTCTCATATATGGGGAGGTTGCTATTCACGCTTGGATCCAGCTTTGCATAGCAAAGAGCAAGCCTATTAAGAAACTTCTGTTTTCCTGTTGGAAGTGTGAAGAAGCTGGAGGCATCCACTCCCAGTTCCAGGCATTGTTAGCAGCAATCAGTGAACTCAGCACAGGTTGTTCTCTCAGCATTGCCAATAGGCTATTTGGAGAAATTACTTATCAGTTCCTCCAGGTAAGCAGCTATAGTGTGTATTTTAACAGCTGCTGGGAGTTTTAAGATCAGTAAAATTTCTTTCATCAGAAAATATGAAGGCAAAGTCAGGATGTGCTATCTAAGGACTAAATACCGCAGTTCTTGTGGTCAGGGAGCCTTTCGTTTCAATTGTCTTGCAAATAGACATCAGAAATAGCAGAGCAGTGAGAAGCCAGGACTTAAAAGCTTTTTATTAAAGAAACTGATGTACAATAACAGCTTGCCGTGGGCATTCTAGAAACTATTATAGCATTAATTATTGTCAATATATCCTTGCCACGTGTACCCTGCGTCTAACAGAACTGGCACTTGCTGTGTGGTTTCTGTTTAAGGAACAAAGTGGGGTGGCCCTGTGACTGGCAGAAGCCTTCTTTCACCCTCAATTAATTCTTTGTTTCCAATAAAACGATTGAACACTCTGCCACCTTTCCGTCACAGTCTAGTCTCTCTCTGCTTTCTGCTTGCCTTTTTAAACAAGGCTTAGATGAAAGTAGCATCTTTGAGACCTTTATCACTTAGTCTAATTTAAATGTAATTAATCACCTCAAAAATTATTTTGTGGAACACTGACAGTCCTGGTAATGTGATTGCATACAAATCATTTCCTCAGGAAATCAAACTTAGAGTATTTATAAGTGCACTGTTAGTAGCAGCACTGTTTTAACCATCTTTCTGTTTTCAAGTCAGGATTTTATTTTGCTTCCCAAACTTTGCTTCCAAGGTAAAGAGAGTTTTTCAAAGGCAAAACCATGTGCCCAGCATCCTGGAAAAGTTCTATACTTAATACAAGTTTCACACTGTATAAATCTACACATCTGTCTATCTATCTGTCATAATGATATTACCCATTCTGGTTATTTCTTCCAAAATAAGATAACCTTTTTTATTTTAGGAGTGAGTGGTGAACAGGCAATGTTGCAATGATATGTAAGCTTAAAGAAATTCACCAGTTTTTAGTCTTAGATATTTTTTCCTGTGACGAGTGTGATGAGACATTTCTACTGTTCGATACAGCTTGAAAATACAGAAAAATATACTTCCAAATATGTTTTGTTCAAATGATCTCTCTCTAAAAACTGCTCACTTGAGTTAATGCAAAAGATTCTTTACATATGCCTTTTTTACTCATTGTTTTTGATGTAGTATATGGAATTATCTTGAAGCTATGCAATTATCAATCCTATAAAAATTATCCTGTTGTGATAACTTTTTCTTTTTTCTCCTCTCCAGTAGTACTTGGATTCCATAAAGAAATTCTATGGAACAGAACTGGAGGCAGTTGATTTTAAAAATGCTAAAGAAGAAACCAGAGACAAGATTATTCTGCACGGAAAATGAGACAAAAGGTAAGAAGCATGCAGGTTGTTTGGTTTGCACCAGAGTCACTTAGGAATATTACACCTGAATTTTAGTTCTCAGCTTTTTTTCTTCCAAAGGTGGAAAGATATTTATATATTGAATACTTACTGTAAGGGTACTTCCTTACATGGGAAGTTCCATCTGAACCTGAGGAAAAACTTCTTTCCTGTGAGGGTGACAGAGCACTGGAACAGGTTGCCCAGGGAGGTTGTGGAGTCTCCTTCGCTGGGGATATTCAAAACCCGTCTGGATGCGATCCTGGGAAATATGCTCTAGAGGACCCTGCCTGAGCAGGGAGGTCGGACTAGATGATCTCCAGAGGTCCCTTCCAACCTCAACCATTCTGTGATTCTGTGATTTTTTTCCTCAATGGGAAGTTAATGCAGAGAGAAGTACAAAAATGCTTTGAACTCCTGGCTTTCACAGCTCTGTGTAAACTTCTTTATAGAAAATTATTAACAGTCAAATGCAGCTAATTGTCTGAATAAATTAATAATTCATCTTAATTCATTACTTTTAAAGGTAAAATCAAAGACCTGTGTCTTGCTGGGTCTGTTAATCCCTCCACTGTACTTGTGCTCATCAATGCTGTATACTTTAAAGGCAAGTGGGCAGTAGAACTTAGGAAAGAAGACACCAAGGAAACATATTTCAGACTGAGCAAGGTACAGCAGGGGCAATAGTTGGTGGGATGAAAATTAGATGTCTCTCTCCTTTTAAAAGCAGATGGGAGCTTCTCTCCCCTCTGTAACAGCAAGTCAAAACACTATCCGTTAACCGGAACATTAGGGTGCAACAGCTGTCCAGTTTAATAACCAAATATTTAATTGTCTCTAGCACTTCACATCAGATGTGGCTCCTATGTGGCTGAAATCCTGATTGTATCAGAGTCACTGAGTGTATGTACTGATTTTATTAGACATTTCGCAACTAAAAAGCTGTTGCAAAAATATTCTGCTTTTGGGCCTGAGAGGAATCTAATCTTTTGCTACTATTTGTCGCTAGGACAATGTTTGTGCTAAAGAAGAATATGGGGTAGAGACAAAGTTTCTCAGGAGAACATATACATCATTCACATCATTTGGTTCACATTTAATATATTTAATTAATCTTTTTTCCCAAGGGACTTTCTCACACCTATTCATTCATAGGTTTCCTTCCTGAATGGAGATGTCAAAAAAAAGAAGCAAGTAGTGAAGAAATTGTAAGTAAAGTTACCTGACACCAGTGAAAATACGAAAGTAGGTTTTATGACTCTAAATTGGATAGCTTCTTTTGGACTACAACTGAAAGAGAGGAAGGCCTAAGAGCTACAAGTACATTAAACAAGAGCTACAAGTACATTAAACTGATGGCTAGAATAAATAATGGTTTCTGGACTGAAATCTAATCCCTGTATTGAAACCAACTGAACTACAGCGATCATTTCCATATTTTCTTCTTTCATATGTTGCAGAATGAGAGAAAGACAGTGCAGATGATGTTTCAGGAAAGTTATTTTAAATTGGCTGTCATAGAGGAATTGTAAATTAAAGTGCTAGAGCTCCTATACTTTAATAATGAACTAAGCATGTTCATTCTCCTTCCTGAAGTTGTCTGTGAGGACTTTACCGGCCTAGAACAGATAATACCCTTTCTTTTCTCTAATTGCATACGTAAGGGAATGCAAACAGAGCAATATGTTAGCATTGCTCCAGCATGGTCAGAAAACAATTGGGAAAAACTATACCTTTCATCTTTTCCTTCCCATTATCATGGTATCGTTTATTAGCTCTAAGAGTACTACTTTCTCAGAGTAGTTACATATATATCTTTTTCTGTTTGTTTCTGAAATGATTAAAAAAAATCCCAGTAATTACAAAACCTAAAGCAAGTATACAAAGATACACACACAAACTGTAGAAACAACTTCCAAAAGACACTTCTTATGGTGAAGTCCACTTTGAGTGGATTATGTCATACAGCAAATAGACAGCAATGGACTACGTACAAAAAGAAATCAGAGTATTAAAAAATGCAGCCTGTTAATCATTGCCAGATAGGACTCAATGATTTTGTCACTTATCAGTCTAAATACAGAATTATGATGGAAGTCTCTTTTGATTTGAAGCTATCAAAATTTTGGTTTTTTTGATAAAATATCCCTTCTGAAAAAGAATGACATAAAAGATAATTTGTGTGAATTCCCCATCTTTTTTTTCAAGCTGCTCTGAATTAAATGGAGCTCAAGACACCTGAATTAAACTAGAAGTCATCAATCCAGTGTGTTTTACTTTCATCAAGATGGGAATGACTCTTGCAGATAACTACTGTAACTGCTCTGGTGTAAATGGAACCTGGGCTGCACTATCCCTGTATACTTCAGAGCTGGACCTTTGTGACCTTTTTATCTTTTTCTGATTGACCTGTTCACCCCTGCCCGATACCCTCTTACAGCTTGAAAGCACCTTCACATATGAAAAACTAGCAGAATGGAGCAGCTCGGTGAAGGTGTGTACCTGCCCCAGTTCAAGATAGAGGAAAGTTACATTCTCAACAAAACTCTCCAGGAAATGGGAATGATTAATGTTTTTGACTGGGGAGAAGCTGATTTATTAGGAATATCTAGAGAGGATGTCCTAATTGTGTCAAAAGCCATCCACAAATCATATGTAGAAGTTAATGAAAAGGGCACTGAAGCAGCAGGTGTCACAGTGATTGTTGCAATGCCTCTATGTTACCCAGTTTCTTATGAGTTCAAAGCTGACCACCTGTTCCTCTTCTTCATTAGACACAATTCAACCAAAAATATTCTCCTCTTTGGCAGATATTCCTCCCCTTAATTGGAGGTTATTTTGGAAATTAGATCTTTCTGCTGACAACCCCAGTGGCACAGTACTGAGGGCAAAAGAGGAGCACATTTTTGCTAGTTTATCCTTATGTGTTAATTTCCTGTTAGAAAAGATGATGAGGGCCAAATTGGAGACCAAAACCTAAACAGCTGTAACTATTTCCTTTCTAACAAACTTTAGGGTGTTTCACTCTGATGAGGAACTCAATAAATCAGAAGGCCAGGCTAAAATGATTCTACCTTAAAAAGCGCTATGTGATCTTCGTCAGAGAGTTGTGGGTCTCTGGAGACATCTGCACAGAAATCTTGTGCTTGGCTTTCCCCTTTTCCAATGTAGAAACTTTCCAACCAAATTATGATTTCAGTGCCCTAAAGGTGGGTGATAGAGTCTCACATGTGGAGGACATACGAGGAGAGGGATCTGCATTAAAAGGATATCTATAAGTAGTTAGGTATTAAGTTTCTTTTAGCTTTATCTATCCAACCGCAGTACTGGTCTCAAGGAATGCCACTTTGTATAGGAGTAGCAATATCTTACTCCTTTAGCCATTGATTGGGAGTTACGGTTGGAGTTCAAATGAGGCTCTCAAGAGCCTGTGTTCTCACTTTGTTCTCAGAGACTGGAGAAAGCAGAATACTTTTCTGGTGAAATTTCCCTCATTCTCAAGCAGAGTAGATTGTCAGTTAATTTGCCTTTGTGTGTGTGTGTGTGTCTGTGTGTCTGTGTGTCTGTGTCTGTGTCTGTGTCTGAGAGAGAGAGAGAAATGTTATATGTGCTAGAAAGTTATCCAATTTTTACATAAATTTCCATGTAACAAAAACAGGATTTCAAAATAATGAAGGCTCTTTTATGACAAGACCCGCAGTGTGATGGCTCTAAATTAGAGACTTAATTTCCACGTAAAAGTTTAAGCTGTGATCAGCCATTCTCTCTTCTAATAAACAACCGTGCCTGTCTTTGTACCCCATAAACCGTAATTTTCTTGTTCCAAAGGAACTTACCTGGTCCTGCAATTTATATACACTTTTTTCTTCTTATCAGCATAAAAACAATTCAAAAAAATCGATGGTAATGCTGTTTGGATGGGAATCCTGTATTTATTCATAATCGTAACAAAACCATTGCAAACTAAATGTTAAATGTAGTAGTCTGCAGAGTTAAGCAGGCAGGGAAATAGTCTAATATAATAAATAAAAATAGTGGTAAACCTTTCAAAAGAATCTAAGTGACACAGAAGCCTACCTCCCATTTTTAAATATTCGTCATGCAAAGTTTAAATACTGGACAATTCAGCATTAGGATAGGTAAACCACAAGCCTCAACTCCCGCTTCTCTCTTGTGCTTGATTCTACCAGGGAATTAAGGATGGAGTTTTAGAACATGACTGAGCCCATCTGATGCCACTGAAGCAGAGGGTGCTGCTCCATAGCCTCCCTCTTTCTTCTTGGCCATGTATTTCTGCTGCCTCCCTTATGCCAGTGTTATCACTTGCCTGACTTGGTGATGAACCAGTTCTCTCGGACCTAAATCAAGAGGAAACCTTTTGGTAACGTTAATTTGCTGATGACATAGTTCCCTAAATCAGCTCCTTTTAGGGCTGGATGGTGTGGGGGAAGTGGGGGAAAGCACAGTTGAGAGCCCACCCAGCTGTCAGCAGGTGATGTTTGAAACCCACAGACACATGAAACATTTGTTTTTGGAGGAAAAACATTCCAACCCTTCAATGACTTACCCTGCTTTTCCTATTAGTTTCTGCTAGGGAGAAGGTAACCATTGGGGAAGGGTTGTCTTATACCAGAGTTTTCAAAGACACTCAAGCTTCTTGAAGTTATCCTTCCTTCAAGTAACAAAACATATTTGTGCTATTTCCGAACTGGAGATTTGAAGTGCTCTTCCAAATGCTGAGAGATGCATGAGAAACTTCAGATTATAGTACCTGGCCATTAAATTTAAGTGGTAAATGAAGCAGGCCCATAATAGTCTGTGGAGGTCTCACATGGCTGTAATTTCAGTATGAAAAACAGCCTGAAAAAATAAAGTTACCAGTAGAGTCATAAGTTTCTACCAATTAGCTGATATAAAGAGGTGAAGAGAACACCAAATAACAGGCCGAGGACTCATCTAATGAAAGGGTACTCGAAAAGCAGGAGTGTGTTTTAGTGACTGCAATAGGTATTTTGCGTAAATCTGGTTTGAGTCAAGTACATATTACTTAAGTAGAAAAAGAATGAAACAAACAGTTTCAGCATATTTTAGCTTGCATAATCAGACCTTTTTTTTCAGATGAAACTTAAAAGAAAAACTTGTTATAACATCTATGACAAAGACAAGCACTGTAAAATATTATCCTGAAGAGATCAAATCTCATAAGTTGAAAAGGATTTCTAAATGTGAACAAAGAAGCAGGTATGACTGAAATGAAAGTTATTTCCCGGCTTATAACAGCAGAAGTAGTCATGTATGGTCTCAGTATTAATTTATTTTAAAA